TGACAGCTCGGGCGTGTTCAGAAGCAGGCTTACAGCTCAGTATCCAGAGGCGCTTGCAACCACTTTTGCGGCTCAGATTCAAGTTCTCTTGGACAAACCAGGCCCTGCACTGCAATTGCGAGAGGCCCTCACACTGGTGCCACGTAAGCCCATGGATCAGCTACCATATGCAGTTCATGATGGGGCGGGTCGTCATTCGCATGCTGATTGGAGCGCTCCCCGCACGCCAGATCTGTTGCGTAACCTGCGCTCTTTCTTGCTTAAGGCCACTGCATCTATGAACGGTCCCTCCCGCCTGCTTCAGCGTCGCTATGAGCCCAGCAAAGAACCGCTTTTCTCAGCTTCAGAGGTTGCTTCGGTTAGGGAAGGGTTCTTCTCGGCATTGGGCGTCTCGGCTCCGGCCGATGCTTGGTTACAGAGGGAACATCAGCCTCTCTGTTTGAATGCCTTGGAAGCTGTTGCTCAAGTATGCTTTGACGCTGATACAACTTTGTTCCCAGCCTTGAAAGCAGGCGTTCCCACAGGCTTTCAGTCGGACATCCCGCCTTCGCATAGTTTTTGGCCTAACACTCGTGAATCTTTAGATGACATACCACTTTCGATTCACTTGCAGAATTGGCGCTCTGCTACGGTGCAACCTTCTGTTATTCGCAGACTGCTTCAGGAAGAACTCGATCAAGGTTTTTGCTTCAAATTCAACGGATCGTTGGCCGATGCCCAGCGACGCTGGCCCCTAGGGCCCTAGGGGTTGCGCTTGGCAAACTTTCGGTTGTCAGGGCTCCTGGTAGATCAGAAAGGCTTTGTCTTGACAATTCGGTTTGTGGCACAAACGCAAATTGCACCGTGCCTGAGAAGCAGCACATGCCTTCAGCTCGAGACGTCTTGCATTCCTATCCCCTGCGTGAATGCTCGCAGATTCAGGGTGCACTCTCGATTGATATCAAAAGCGCTCATAAGCGCTGCGTTGTCAAGGATGCGGAACAAGGATTGCTTGGGTTCACATGTGAGGAACCAGACGGGTCAAATGCCCTCTATTTCTATCGCACATGCCCGTTCGGAGCCACGTTTGCCCAGCACTGGTGGGGGCGACTCGGCTCGTGCATCCTTCGCATTCTTCATATTCTCATCTACATAGCCCACACAGGCCACTTGTTTGTAGATGATTATCTCTTTTCTCAGGCGATGTCCATTCTTCCAGCAACGAGTGCCATGATTTGCATGTTCATGCAGATCATGGGTGTGCCTCTTTCCTGGCACAAACTTCAGATATCCGTTCGGGTCACTTGGATAGGCTGGGACTTTCAGTACTCTGCCGGTATCGTGTTGCTTAAAGAATCAAAACGCTTGAAACTGCTGGGCATGGTGCAAGATTTGCGTAAAAACCATCGCTTGACGAAAAAGGATTTGGAACGCTTCATTGGCTTAGCACTGTGGGCTACAAGCCTTTTTCCGGTCATGAAGAGCATGCTGCATACTTTCTATCACGATCTCTACAGCCCAGCTGCTACGAACTACAGCATTCCGCCAGAGCGCTGGCATGAAATCGCTAGATACTTGTCGCCGGATCTGCATTTCACAGTGACGCCGCCAGGTACGGGTATACCGCTCGGCTCCAAACTGCTTTCGGCACGTCACCAAGACTTGCACTCTCTTCAGGATCTTGAGAAAGTTCGGGTTTCTGATCGTAGGCTTTGGCTTCGGGTTTCTAGTCAGAACAGCAAGAAGCGAAAATTGTGCTTGAACTCGCTGCGCATTCTCGGCATCTTCGAGCATTGGCTGTTGCATATGTCACCATTCCGCTCGATGCGGCAGCCTGCCATTATTGTATTTGATGCACGTGCAGATGCCAGTGCCAAAGGCTCTCATTGCTGCATAGGTGGCTACGTGCGCCACCCCTCTTTAGGTCATCGCTGGTTTCAACAAACCTTTGCTCACGCTGATTTCCTAGCTTTGGGCATTGGGGTTCAAGCTGATATGGCAAGGGAGATTTCGTGTTATGAAGCTCTCGCACAGGCAGCGCTGATATTGGCGGCATCTGCCTTGCTTCCATGCAGTTGCATCCCAATCACTCTCAGAGCTCTTTCAGATAACACGGGTGCGGAATCAGGTGTTAATGACTCCTTGACAACCAGTCAGCCCTTGTGCTTTTTCTTGGAGCGGATCTCACTTCTTGCAGCAGTGCATCGAGTCACCCCTGATGTATCGCACATACCGGGGGAAGCAAATGATAAAGCAGATGCTCTGTCTAGACCACAAGAGCATCCATTGCCTCACGATTGTTTGCAGCATGAGCGCATTTCAGCTACGCTTCAGGATCTTTGGCTACCGCGGCCAATGATCAGTGTGTCACCTTCGTCTGTTCAGCTTCCGTGGCAAATTCGCTCGCATGGAGTGCCCACCAACCTCACATAAATTCGGGGTGTTTTCTTAGCGAGGTTGCTGGGTAGTTCTAGATTGGTGCGGTTGGACCACCCATAAACCTCGTAATGCTTGCTGGACTTGCTGCCCGGACTTTGTGGGCATACGGCACTCCATGAAAAAGCTTCCGCTTAGTCGAGTTTAATCCCTTCGGGATACACGCCTAGCCAGCACAACTAAAGTAGTAGAACGGTTTGTGTACTTGTTCACATCTGTTTTACTACTTTATGTTCGTGCGAACATTTGGCTCAGTTGTGCTGGCTAGGCATCTTTCTTCGAAATCCTCACCCTCCCGCCCATTTCACACTTTTCGGTCTCACCGGCATTGGCTACAAGAACGATTCAAGATCCCCGTAACAAGAAAGTCAAAAGTTTCGGCTTCGGGGCAGCCGTATCTAGAGTGCAGTGCTTCACCGTGCGTCTCACACCAGCCCGAAAATCCCGAATCTTATTGCGCCCTCAGGCCCTCTGCCTTTACGCTCTAGGTATGCTGCTTTCATCGGGCTGGTCTCTGGGCCTTCATCGCCCAGCTTCCGTACACGACTGCTAAAACGCTGCAGCTTTTCTTGCATGCTCTGCAAGCCACATACAGATGCAAATGCTTTCTTTGTCGTTGCGTTGATACTTCTTTGCTTGCTCTGGTTCGCTTATTTGCTACGCATATGCATCGCTTTACGTTCTCGTTGTGGGCATACGGCACTCCATGAAAAAGCTTCCGCTTAGTCGAGTTTAATCCCTTCGGGATACACGCCTAGCCAGCACAACTAAAGTAGTAGAACATTGCGATCCGGTCGACGTAGCGTCTAACTTGGATCTGCCGCAGATCCACGCCCAATGCCAAAGTGTTGAGATGTGCCTGGCAGGACTGTAGTCCGAGTGACCAGGGTATGCCCTGTTACTGTCGTGTCACTGGCTTGATCTCTTTGCAGGAAAGGAGGCGGCAGTTAGACGACACCATGTTGAAGATGCTGCAGGCCGTCCACGACAAGGCCAGTCCAGCGAAATCCATGCATCGCGGGCTTGCACATCTTGACCTCAATGGCAGGCCGCGTGGCAGCGAACAGTGGCTCTGGGATGGTTTCAAGCAGCGGCCCCAACTGTCAGCGCCATTCGTCTGCATTGTTCCGCTGCATGTCAATGTCATCATCGGTGGACACGGACGAGCTGCGGTCTGAGGGCAGGCGGCCTTGCCATGTGTGATTACTCCAGTTCGTCAGTTCTTCCTTATATGCTATCAACAGTCTCAACCTCGCTTCCATGATGCAATGGCCGTTGTCCGCACAGCCAGTAATCGTGGTCGCGTCCACAGCAATTTCTACAACGCTGGTGGGTCCACGTTCGGCTCTGTTCCAACAGTTTTCCACCAAAGCTTTCTGGAGTTGTGGAGCGGTGGCCCTTGATCTGGCGCGCTCATAGCAGACAGGAGTGTCGACATGTGAGAGACTTTTTGTTTGCATTTGAACACCGCCCTTTCTACATGGCTTGTTGCTGTAACGACATGTAACGACCTGTGGCACAGCATGCAGATCAACACTCCCTTGTTTGTTATTGTCGCGTGGTAAGAATGTTAAGACTATATATGTCTTTGTTCTACCGATGCGGCATGCAACACTCCCCTGCTAATCAAGACCCAAGCATCAACATTCAAGCAAGTTCAGACATGGACGTGACTAAGTTGGTCCTTACCTCAAAAAGAAGGTCTGTTGGTTTATCTTGTTCATCTCGGTAGTTCCCCGGCCTCTGCGACGACGCTCGCGCTTACGGCGCCAAAATCCGTAAGCTAGTCATCCTCAAGCTGGAGCAGGTTTGGCAAGCTGCATGTACTACTGTATGTGGGATGGTTCAGGTCTAACTGGTTTGCATTGCGTTGCATTGCCGCAGGACCCTTCGGTCTTGCAGCCTCGAGAAGTTCAGGGGCCTCCAAAAGTGCGTGCGTGGCGTTGTGGAGGCCGCGCGTTCCTCTGCATCCATTAGCTCCGCTGTCGAGATCGGTATCAGTGCCCTCAGCCGGCCTGGGCACTCGTGCAATTGGCAGGGAGAGCCAAGCCTGCAACAACTGCCAGGTCCGCGTCCGCCACTATCCGGACTATGCGACCTGTCGAGCTTGCAGCCAGACTGATTTGCTGCCAAGTAGTCTGGTGCTTCTCTTGGCCCTCAACCTCCTGTGCCTGCTCAATATCTCTCGGCTGGATCCAAGCCGAGTCCGTGTCTTGGTGCGATTTAGTTCACAGTTTAACGGCTTTTGAAATAGCCTACCTAGAAGAGCAAGTCTCGGTCGGCATGCGAGGCTTCCCCATTGCAGGGCAGCGGTGATGTCGATTCAAGCATTGGGCTCACTCCGAGAGCTATCACTCCAGTGGCAAGATCCAGTGAAGATGCTCTTGGGCTTTGCCAAGAACTTGTCCTTCGACTTGCACATCATCCGGGGCAAGACCAATATGGTAAGGTAATGAACAGCCCGCTGCAAACAAACTTCCAAGGAGAACAGTTTAGGCCGTTGACCCATGCCCTGTTTGTGCCGACGATGATCCACGAGGAGAGTTGCCTGTGACAAAGACCGGCTGCAAATCACTCAGGCAACATCAGAAGATCTTACCAAATGGCAATATGGGCCCAACTCCTTTGTGGATGCACTCGTGAAAGTCCTGTGGACGAGAGACCTTGGGAACCACAATGACTTCGACCCCTCTACAACCTTCCTCCAGCGACGCAAAGTTGAAGTCGACTTGCAAAATGGGCGGCCGAACTTCTTTGTTGGATCCCTGCATGGCTGTGCCGGTCGCCGCGGCTTCGTGTCCGGATGCAGGCCTCGCACCAGCTCGCAAAGAGCATGTGCGTGAGGTTGTGGAGAGCAGTAGAGAGCAATGGCTGCTTCGTGGGGTACGCCCTCCACGGCCTGTGCGGCGTTAGCCGCCACATAGTCCTCAGCTCGTGCTGCTCCAACCCGGCTGGGGCACCATGTGGATCTGGGCGCCGCATCTTGGCCTGCGAGTCGTTCTGCTGGTTCTCCTGGGCGTTCTGCGGGTCGTTCTGCTGGTTCTCCTGGGTCCTGGGCGTTCTGCGAGTCGTTCTGCTGGTTCTCCTGGGCATTCTGCGGGTCGTTCTGGAGGTTCTCCTGGCGTCTGTGGGTCGTTCTGGAGGTTCTCCTTGGCGGTTCTGTGGGTCGTTCTGCTGGTTCTCCTTCTGTGTACGTGGGCTGCGGGTGGCTTTGCACCACCAGCTCGCTCGGCTTAGGCGCCGCGCCGCCTTCAGGAAAATAGCCCTCCTCGCTCGAAGGCATCCATGCCGATGAGCGTGATCCTTGGCCTTGGCACTTTGGTAGCCAAGGTGAACGGGTTCTTTTCATTGAGGTAGCCGGCGCCGAGTTTTCCAGTTGAAGCCAAAACCCAGCACTCGTGCGAAAGAGCGTGGTCCTGGCCTAGAGGGTAGCGTCGTACCACGGCCGGGGGTCCATCAAGTCGGTCGCCCCCGCAATGCATCTTAATGCCATTCCCCAACAAGTGCATGCCCTCGTTCCCAACCAAAGCTTCCATCTCAGCAGACAAGGTCATCTTGGGAACTTTCGGCAGGAGGGTGTGGGGAACTTCGGTGATTGTGCAGACCTCGCCCCGCACGATCAAAGAGTTGTGCTTGAAGGACACTGGTGCGCGAAGGCCGGCTGGGGACTGGAGAGTCATGCTCCTCGGCCCGGTTCCCCCTGTGTGGATCCAGGTTCCTCCTCCGAAACAAGCTGCCGCCCCTGCGAAAGCAACTTTCCTGCGGCCAACAACGGCACACGAACCCGGGCTACCACACACGTCTCTTTAATGATGAAGCTTCGGCCGTTGTTGTCTCGCAGCTCAAAGGCATATCGCCGCAAGGCTTCCGCGGGGATGTCATGGCCTTGGGCGTCGGAGAGCCTTGGGGGCGAAATGTTCCCCGCCAATTGGCTCGCCCAAATCTCGCATGGCCTGGCACCACGCTAGCATCAGCCCCAGTTTCCAGCACGATGGTCACGGGGTCGTTGTCCTGCTCGGCTCCTCCACACGGGGTGGGCCCGAGCACTCGCGGCTCGAATGGCTGGCTCCTCCGGGAAATCGTCGTAGAAGTCCATCACCGCATCGTTGTCGGAGATATCTGTTCGCGTCGGGGGTTTCACCAGCTGCACTCGCCGTACTGAATTTGCTGGTGGCTGGCTCGTTGTGGTAGATCTCGTCGCTGTCGGGGTCGGCCCGCAGGGGCGGTGCTCGCTGGTGGCGGCGCGGCTGCAGTGGGCTGCTGCTGGTTCACTTGGTTCATGTGTTTGCCGGGGCAGTCTCGGACGAAGTGACGCCCACCACAGTTGTAGCAGCCACCAGCTGGGCCGCCTTTGCCGCCTTTCTTGCCTTTGAAATTGATCTTTTTCCTTGCCCTTTCCTTTTCCTTTGTCTCCCTTCTTTCCTTTGTGGCCGCTAGGCTTGCCTCCCTTTTGGCCGCTTTTGCCATTCTCGACGCGGTCGATCTCCATGTCGGTGGGGCCGCCCTGGTTGAGCGCGCCCTGGGTAGTCACGGCCGGGAGGGCGAAGCCAGAAAACGGTTGCCAGCGCGTGCTGGCCCTTTCATATGCCAACAGCTTCTCGCGGATGGCCTTGTAGTCCGTACTCTCGTCCATCGTCAGCTGGAGCTGGGTCTGAAGGTTCGCGGGAGCAGCCTGGATGACCGACTTATTCGAAGATCGTCTGGATACGTTCCCCCAGACACTCTCATATTCCTTTATGAGCTCCTCGTACTTCACGATCTGCTCGGCCAGGCTGCGGTGCGCATCAAACCGGACGCCAGCCATCTGCGACATCAAAGCAAGTTGTCGCTGTCGCGTGGCTGGTTGCATTTCTCCCACCAAGACCCTCCAGGCCTCGAACCCATTCTTAGAGGAAACACCTCTAACCAGCTTTGCCGGTCGCTGCCTCACAAAGGAAAGCAGAATGGCGTAGAGCTCGATGCTGCGCTTGCGAACAGCAGCATCCATTCATATCCATTCCATCCACCGTGGAGGGCCACGTCGGGGTAGCTTCGATGGTCTCCATGTCCTCAAGCATCTTTGTGTCCGCCACCGACAGGCAATTCTTGATCATGTGCTTCCATTCGCTCCATTGCTCCACTTCTTGCTCGCGCGTCTCGGGCCGGAAGATATCCGGCTTTTGTATCAATGTGCGAAGCACATCGCTTCGCCGATAACTCTCGGAGGTGTCGAGGACGGCCTGCGCCGCTTGCGCAGCCGCTGCTGCTGCAGCGGCAGCTCCAGCTGACATCTTTTCAAGGAGCGGGGCAAAGGGCCCTGGCTCCCGACCAAATCAGCACCAGACACGCCCTGGCTCGCGCGGCCACCGCCGATCTTGTAGGCGAAGTCCTCGGTCGCCTCGGTCACAAAACCGACGCAGAAGTTGGAGCCCCGGCCGGTTGCAAAGCAGCCGCCACAGCTGCCCGAGGCAACCTCAAGAAGAAACACAGCACGCGATGCACTATGAAACTCTAGGCTCGCGGGGTCCTAAGGCACTTTGCCTTTGCCGAGGGGCCCTGGTGGGGATTCGGGTCCTGTCCCTTGACGATGGAGCCGCACACCTGAGATTCCAGAAATCAGGATCGTAGCAGCTCCGCTACCATGTAAAGGCACAAAACGTGCTTCGATCTTTTGCTCCGAAAGGGCTCGACGAGATCTCATGGTTCAACTTTCATGCCACTGCACACTTGACAATGGCTCTGTGTGCAAGGCAATGATAGAGGTAAAGAGAGGCCCGGGAGGATTTACAGACACATTCGTACCCTAGAGTTTGACACGACAAACAAAGGTGCCTCGCAGGATTCCAATTCCAAGCTTGAACTGGCTGCCGTGACAATCATTGGCTGTGGACGCGCTCGGCTCAAGCGCCAGTGGTATGAATGCATGCTTCAAGTGTAAAGCCTAGCATCACAAGCAGCAACGGGGCCCATACAGTGTGGAGTGCTAGGAGGACGAGCCACCATGAACGAAGTTTAAACAGTCGTTCATATGACATGAGCTTCTGCAATTATGTGCCTTGTGCAGTTTCGTGAATAAGCATGAAAACTTGATTATGATTCATCGCTCAACAACTTTAATCCAACTTGGTGCTTGGGGAAGCGCCGCGGCCCAGCTCGCAATGAAAAGGCGTCCACCCCATCCCGACAGCAATCGGACCAAAAAAAAGGCAAGCGGGGCAACCTTGAAATGGAAGCGCATCAATCTTCTTTCTTGACCATTGTGCTGCAGTTTCGGTACGGTTTCAGTGCACATTTGCACCATACCGAAGCCATGTTTGGACACTTTGCCAGGCCCAATTAGTAGCGACACTTCGAAAAGCTTGCGATCCAGGCAGGACTGGTTGCAAGTGGCTTCTACTCTGTTGACAACGGAGGGAAACTCGTAAAGACAAGTGACCTTTTGACGTGCAAACGTCGTGAACAACCGAGCTTGCAATCTCAGGCTCTTCCCCACAAGCTCCGTGGGATTGGTATCAGATTCAAAACTTTCCACGGTGGTCAGGTGTTGAAGCGTCAGTGAAAAGGCTAAAGAGAGAAGGTAGAGACAGACAGAGTGAGCGAGAGAACGAGTGCATGTGTCCTGAAGCGGAAGCAAGAGCAAGCAGAGAAAGGCGTGCAGCTTTGCTTCGATGTTTTGCGGGAAGAAGAACGAGGGAGAGAAAAACAAGGGTGGGAACCAAGGAGGTCGGATACGTTGATGTTATGCTGGAAATCCAAAATGCAGCGCTCCTGGGCTGCTGTGTGTTGTAGTGTCTGTCTGTTATATTGTTTTTTTCATCACCGTATCCCAGTTGTTTTTCTGCCCTCTTCTTTCCTACCCTGGGGTTTGGTTCACTCCTTGCGTCTCTGCTTCGTTTTCTTCGATTCTAAGCCTTATCTCAGTCGTTTTCCCATTTCTAGCTCAGACTCTAACCATCTTTCCTCTATCGTTTTTCCCACTCCGCAGTAGCGGTCGCATGCGCGAAGCAGTTATGTGACCTTTGTTCTTTAACTTTTCTCTTTCTTAGTGCTTCTTCACCGTTGTTTCAGGTCGTCTTCGTTTTGTCTTTCTTGGGTTCCAACATAAAGCCTTATCATAAAGCCATCATTCGGGACTTTTGGCTAAGCCAATGTTTCAAGGGTTGTTTATCTCGGGGGCTTATGCTTTACTGAATTACCTCGCTCAAACTCTAATTCAACCTGATCCAACACTCCATGCAAACTCGATTTCTGTTAACTCTACTTTGCCGCAGACCCATCTGTTACCCTATTTCTTGGCATCTAACAAATCCTCTTATTTTGATACAGCAGTTCTCCACCTAATGATTTTGGATAGCTTTAGTCATTGTCCTTGAATGTTTGGCTCTCTCATCATAGAGCTGACTCTCATAGTTCAACATTGCATTCAAGGGAACCATTTCGTATGTAGTCTTTGTTCTGTTCCAGATGTCAGCCTGCCTTCTCTTCAATCGTTTCATGTTGTGCAAGTGCGCTTCGTGCTGGTGCACTTGATGCTGATGCACCGGGTGCTGGTTTGTGTGGTAATAGCTGTAACGGTTAGTTGACTGACTGGTTTGTTGCTTGGTTTCTGTTTCGGCTTTCAATTCTGACCGGCACTTCTTTTTCCAACATTTCATATCTCCCCTTACGGGGCATCACTCATCATATCAAATTTTAGACCCTTTTCTTTCACTCTTTAATTTAGTTACTGAGCTAGGGCTTCTTCTTCTCTTGAAGTAGTCTAACGAGTCTAACCACCAATTAACAAATGTCGTGCATGTTATAGTTTTATCCAATCCGTCCCATGCATAGTGTCTTTCGCCCTCCCATTGGCTCCTATAAGCATTTGCTTGAAGTGTAGTTGCCCTTACCCGTTACGCGTGTTTCAGCTTTGTTCCCGACCTTCAGCCTTGAGATATTTCCTCGAAAAGTTTTCATTTTACTACAGGAATACACGTTACTGTAAGATGGTTGTCGTCCTCATTTACATCGTTGTGAGTCATCCAAGTCGTTGAAAGCTTCATCTTTCTTGTTACACCTCCGCGTACAGCATGCTGACATGTCTCATTATCTAAGAAATATCGAAGCAGAGACCCAAGGAGTGAACCAGACTAGGAAAATATGAAGGGAAGGAGGCGACAAGGGGAGAAAACAAGTGGGATAAGGTGATGACAAGGCAACAAATGAAGCAGACACGACAACACAGCAGCCCAAACTCTAGCCCTTTACACGTTTGTGGGGCGTGGCCTCCAGAAGAAGAGAGAATGAACAGAGGGGTAGAAGCGGAAAACTAAGAAAAGGGGCACAGCTACTGTTGATGGCTGTTGTGCTTATGTGGGAGAAGCAGGGGGCGGTTGCAATCACTGGTGCAACTAAATCGCTAATGCACGTAAGCCTTGGCCTGGCTTGTTGTGGAGGGAGGCGGGGATCAAGGAGAGCATGTTGGAAGCCTCTGCCCAGCCAGCGACATTGTTAGCTCTTGACGGGCTTTGCGAGTATGTTTGGTGCCAGACAGAATTTGACATTGCCTTTACTTGTCTGTACCACGGGTTGGCTTGTTTTCCAGGCTTTGTGCCCTTCGGTGGGAGCCCACCTTGCCGCTCCATCCTCAGATTGTCCGCCCATTGTTGCAAACGTTTTAATTTCTGTGCGGAGCTTGGCTTACAGCGTTGCTGTGTTTGTCTGCAACACTCAGCGGTACCGTTTGAACGGTCTTTGCGCATTCGTGATGGCATTTGGTCTCAGAGCACTTGGCATGTCGTTGTGACGGTTCGCAGCACTGTGTGTCTTCTGGGCGATGTGTGAGTGTTTCCCCATGCCGCCACGACGCAGAACCCTACTGACCAAGGGTTTCAACGTGCAAACGGGGTGAGCCAGCAGGCCTTTCAACGTGCAAAGCCTTGGATGCATTTGTTGCAGCTGATGGCCAGGCCATTTGGGCCATGAAGAGGTATTGCGCGATCATATCTGCCTTGCCCCAGAGCTTATTCGACATACAGAAGATTCAGAAGCATGTCGACCTGAAGCAGGCTCGCTGTTGGGATAGGGTAATCATCTACTTTATGTTTGGTGATTGGCAGGAATTCGCGAAGATCTGCACCACAAAAGCTGGTGTAGTCAAGTGGTGCGACTTTGCACGAGCCAGGCGCTCAGTAGATCCTTGCTCAGCTTGAATGATTACCGCGCGGGTAGCTGAGGTGTTCCAATGCTTCGATCCACATGTTTCCATTGAGGCCGGCAAACTTGCTTTTACTACTTGTGTCGAGTTTGTTGCGAGTGTTGGCCACGATTCCAAGGCTGTGTCCGAGATTTGGACCTTTCTTGGCGGGGGTGAGGCGGGAATCAGAGCCGTATGCTGTGAGTTGCAACAAAGAACTTCTGATGGCGGCAGGAGCTCCCGCTACATACTTTTTTTCGGTACTGCCTCCCCGGAGGGGAGCACTTGCCCTTGGTGCGCCGGGCCCGTAAATGAATGTCCACGAAAGCCAGGAACTCAATGCAGCTTCATAGGCACAACATGCGCAGATTAGGCATCTTGGCAAGTGAGGCGGCTATGCCATGTTTTCATTGAGTCCAGCAGTGCTGCGCAGGTATCCCTTCTCTCCGTCGAAGAAGAAACGAAAAGGATGGCTTGCGCGGACGTCGAGGCAAAAGCCGGGTTTTGTTTGGGTGGTTGTTAGTATGTAGAGAATGAAGGCATGGATCCTACGTCAGCAGCCGCTCAGAAAATTGACACTGCCCACCAGTAAGCCTAGTCTTGTCCATGTGAGGTGCTCACTCGCAGACAGCCTCCAACTTTCAATGCCTCGTCAGGTTAACCAGCGACCATAGGACTGTAGGTGATTAGATACCTGGGCTGCATGAAGCATGCTTGCTTACTCACTCCAGTCACCCTCGCACCCACCCACCCACTCACCTACCCACTCACCCCCACCCCACCCCACACCCCACCAGAAAGGCACCTGGATGTGTAACATTCAGCCACCCACCCAACCCACCCAACCCGCTTGCTTACAAAATAGCGTTGAGTCGACTCGCAAAGGTTTCTGCACTCGTATTGCATGACTACGTCATTGCCTGTACCGGTTTAGCTGGGCTCACGCTGTAGCCATTACGTTGCGGAACCTGGGAGGCGCAGGCGGCGTCCAGGGCTGAATTGTCGAAGGCCGGAGCTCTGGGAGTTGCACTTGACAGCTGCTGTTCTTTGATGTTGTTTGAACCTTTGTGCGTCTCGCTAAACGAGATCTGTGAGCTTCAGAACGAAAGCCGATCTGCCAAGGCTTATGCAGCATTGGCAGCAGAACATGCTGAGCTTGATCGAGCTGTTCTGGGCGTGGTGGTGCAAAGCATGGCACGTTCCGCGGAACAAGCCCGTCCACAGTCAGAACAGGTGGAGAAGCCGTCGCGTACCTGTGTGGTTTGTCGCGTGGAGGATGCCCATCATGCCCTGGTCCCCTGTGGACACCTGTGCTATTGCCACCGCTGCGTGCAGAACTTAAGAGATGAATGGAAAGAGAAGTGCCCGGTCTGTAGGTGCCATTACAGGGAAATTGTAAGAGTGTTTGCTTAGCAGCTAAGCAGGCGTGCAATAGCCCGCTGAAAATGCTTGAGCCGTTGAGGAGCTCACACAAGGAAGGCATAGAGTCTTTATATCGCAAAGGGCTGCGGATGTCCGTGAGTTTGCTATGCAGTCTTTTCGATGGGCTGTTATCATCTACATCCCGCAGCCCTTTAAGGGAATTGGCATGCATTGCCCACCTCCTTTCAGGCAGGTCCACGGAAGTTGATCGGGAATGGATACTTGTCGGACTTGGAGCGCCTGAAAGGGGGTAGTAACTGCAGCTCTCGTTAGTGTAACCACAAAAGAAGGGAACACAGCAATGATCCCTGGGTCCCTGCCGTCCTGCCCCTCTGGCGAGGTAGGGACTTGGTTCTAGACTCTAAATCGATACAGTAATCCCCATAAAGTTGGAAACCGGGTTAAGGCTAAATAGTGCTGGGATTCCCTATACATTACTCTTAAGGATTGAGGCTACTGGGTTTCCAACTTTTTGGCTTCTACTATAGTGGCACGGCGCGGTCTAACTGGTCGGTGAAGTCATAAAGCCAACAAGTCGCGAAGGCCTGTGAGGGGTTAGGGGTTTAGGGTTTAGGATTTAGGGTTTAGGGTTTGAAATCAAGTAGACCCCGATATCTGCACTTTCTGGCTTCTAGTTTTGGGCCCTAGTAACCGACTCAACCCTTTACAGAAAGTCTCAAACATTTTAAGCACGCATCAAAGCACCGGAGCGCCAGGAGCTTGAACCTGAAATGAGCGATCTCTGTGCCAAGCTTCGGCGCTACACTCTCTCAACTGTGAGTAAGCGAAGCTTGCAAACTGAAGACGCTCTGCCACCGAATTCATGAATTCTGCCACCGCCCCTCTTTCGGCATGCATTTCGGCGAAAAGCCCTCCCAATCCCAGTCTTCTACAAATTGAGGCCGGTTGAGGCTTTAATCTAGGATTTCGGCTCCACGTTGGACCAGAACCCATCAACCAACATAGTCTCCGCCAACCCTTCGAAAACTGAAGAAGGCTTCAGGAGCCTAGGGCCAAGCAGCCTGAACGCGAAAACCCAACATTTTCGAAGGGGAAGCTTAAATATAGTCCCGATGCAAGATTGGACCCTAAACCCCAAACCCCCAACCCCCAGATCCGAAACTTTGGGGCGCGTGAACATCGTCGGCCGAGACCTTTGCCCGGCAATACTGCCGAGCTGTCGGTGCGGCGATGTGCGAGCAAAGAACATGTATGGAGCATCCATAGCTCCTCGTGAAAGACATCAGCAGCCTGCAGGGAAGCTTGCCAGATGGGGCATTAAGGTTTTGTGGTTCCATAAGGGGCACAACGCACACATAATCTGTTCGTCGGTACAAAGAATTGACACAGAACAACTTGCTTCTATGTTTGTTCACCATGATGGACAGAGAAGAAGCTTTTGGGCAACCGCGCGTGCAGGGGCTGCAACACAGTGACGATGGGTGAATTCTTGGGCGAGCGAACCTGTGATTGGCAACACATGAACTGGGTTGTGTTGTTGATTGTTTGCGATGAATCGACTGCTTGTTCCTACCATTGAAATGATGAAGGAACGGCTGATGATAGGTTCAAGGGACAGTATTGACCCGTGCGGACCTATGGCTCAAGACGAAGAGACGTTCTGCCGAGCTCCCCCGGAAGCTTGCCATCACGATCCCGCCATGGAAGGCCGGCGGGGCCGGGGCGGTGCCGGAGACGATGCTGTTGGTCCCCTTGTTGCCCTGCTGGCAGGAGATGGTCCACGTCGTCGTCCCATGTGAGGGCCTAAATGGTGTCTGGCATTGTCTGGCAGTCTTCGGCGCTGAGCTGAGGTCGTGGACAGAATGGCTATGCCTCTGGTTCTGCCTCAACCTCAGCAGCCCACCCCCGCCACACGACCCAACCCACCCACCACCCACCCCACGCGTTGGTCGGCTGCCGAGGCTTTCTGCAGGAACAAGCCGATCGCGACCTCGAAGAGTCCTTTGACATGGATTGGGAAGGAGCGGCGACGACGGGCCGGCAGATGAGCCAAGACCGTATCAAGTGTCTTCGAAGCAGCTGCAGAAGCGTGTCGTGAAGTCGGCAGATGGGGGAGCTAAGCACAGCTTGGAGTTGGCATCGGACGGCGAGCGCAGCGTGCTCAGCCAGGAGGGAGCTGCGCTCGTTGGCACCGATGTCTGGGTCGTTGGCATAGACACGGCTGGGTCAGTGGTTTTCGGCCCCTCGCAGAGTCCGCGAAAGAAGCCAATACATTTGAGATCCCGATTCAGAAGCAGCATTTGGAAAGTTGCAGTCGGTTCCATGCGCCTTCTTTGTCTTCCAGTGTTCAGTTGGGGCTGCAACGACGATAGGCCGCTGGGCAGAGCTCCTTCCGATGATTCGAACAGTGGCCCGTCGGATGTGGGAACTCATTTAACGACAATGGCGTGTGGAGTCGCAGTTCGCCATCTTGCGGAGACCGCTGTAGCTGTGCCTCGAACGAGAAAAGGCGGGTCTGGTTGTGGGGAACCAGGGCAGTGACTCGCCCAAATGCCACCCACGAAAGCATCGAACTGCCCCAGGAAAATAGCTTTGCGGGCTTCGCGAGCTTGGATGATTGCAAGTCGAAGTGCAACACCCGCTCTTTGCATTGGGATGGAAGCAACCGCGATGGCGCACTCACTCATGCACGGACACGAAAATATGATGCGGCGCTACATCGCGAACAATCAATTTATTGATCGTATTTGATTGGCCCCCAGTAGTTGTTCAAGGTTCCTGCTTCTCCTTTCAGAAAAAGGGCTGCGAGAGGGGTGAGGTCCAACTTTGGATCAATGTCGGTCGAGGCTCCTGCCTACGGGTGTCCCACCTTCTACACTGGCTGTCCTCGTTGTAGAAGATTTCATTTAAGGTCGTCTCATGTCTGCAGGAGATTGGAACCACCTATGGTGTTGGGGTGGGCTTGGTCAGTCAGAGTTAAAGCCTGTCAGGGTTCCCAGGTTCTGTTTTGACATGCCCAGCTGTTCAAGCTTTGAAGCGCCCAAGTAGTGAAATTGCCTTCATAGTTTTGGCCTTCGCTGACATCCATCAATTTATGATGCCTCTGGAAGATAGAATTCACAGCGCCCCAGCTTTGCTCAAGCCACAAGGGTGCACGAGCCTCAGCGGTAGCCGGTCAGAGATGGCCCCGTCAGCCTCGGCAAGCAAGGCGCACGCATGGTGTGATCGCGTCGATTGCTATCTCTCTGAGTTCAGGAGGAGCTCATGCTGCTCCCTGCAAGCAGCAGGCTCAGATTGGCTGGCTCCCGCACAGTGCGCAGCAAATTACGTATTCTATACTGAAATGTATTATGGTCCAGTACATTAGTTAGAGTCTAATATATTATAGTGTACGATAGTGTAACACTCCGGGCCGCAGGTGAGGTGGCACTGTTGCACGACATCATGGGAGAGGTTCTTCAGAGTTCTCAGCTCAGGCAAGCATGGCTTGTCTTGAGAGATTCGGTATCGCTGTGACGTTTGAGGCTTCGATCCTGGCTTTAAGGCCAACCGCTTTGACCGCACCCACCCGAATCAGCTCCCGAGCTTCGGTCGCTCCTTACCAGGTTCCTCTTAGCGCTCCCAGCGCGGCGGGCGATGAGGCTAGGAGTGAACATGTGGGCATCTGCGTTCGACCTTACAATAGCGAACGCTTACAGAGATGGACGAGTCGCCATTGACAGGAAGGGTTTGTTGAAGTGCCGGTCAGTGGCGCCCTCATATTGTCGGAGACTGGCGTCGTGTGTTTTACAAGTCTTGGGCTTGAGGACATGTGGCATGCATGTTGGATTGCAGAAGACGTTGCTTAAACATTGCTTAAACATGTCTGGCCGAGGTGAGGTGGATTTCTTGCACTCCGTTATGGCTGAGATTTTGAATAGTGAGCCGGCTTAGCTCTTGCTTCGTGATGCTTTGTCGCCGCGCTAGTGTTGGAGCATCCGCTGTCCCTTTGCCTTTGCAAGGTTTGGACCCAGGCTGCCAAGCATGTGGCCGAGTCATCAATTGCAAGCAGTTCACTTTGGTCCCTGCCAGCGGTTGGCTCAGTTTTGCACTTTGGGCAGCGAGTACTTATTCTCGGGCCGAATTGCTTGTTTATCACGAGCGCTTTGAGCGGTATCCCTTGCTGACGTACACCGGACTGGACATGTCCACAGATCCTCGCCAATTGTCTTTGTCTTGTGGCGATCTTGCAGTCTTTAGCCGGCTTAGGTATTAAGTACGCTCATCGGCACAGGCCCACAGAAGCCCCCCCTGGCGACGCATTCTGATGCTTCCAAGGTCAATATTCCATCACATGTATGGGAGACCAGCCGTATGGTTCAACATACCACGTTAGTTAGATGCACTCCTGCAAATCAGGTAGCAGCGAAAAGCAATGGAATCCGCGGCCATTAGGTTGTACTCACAGCAACTGTAAACATCACAGAGTGAGTGCAGCGTGTAGGAAAGAGTTCCTTCAGTCTTCGAAGTGTTATTGGGGCATATCATTGTCAACACCCAGGTGAGGTGGCACTGTTGCACGACATCATGGGAGAGGTTCTTCAGAGTTCTCAGCTCAGGCAAGCATGGCTTGTCTTGAGAGATTCGGTATCGCTGTGACGTTTGAGGCTTCGATCCTGGCTTTAAGGCCAACCGCTTTGACCGCACCCACCCGAATCAGCTCCCGAGCTTCGGTCGCTCCTTACCAGGTTCCTCTTAGCGCTCCCAGCGCGGCGGGCGATGAGGCTAGGAGTGAACATGTGGGCATCTGCGTTCGACCTTACAATAGCGAACGCTTACAGAGATGGACGAGTCGCCATTGACAGGAAGGGTTTGTTGAAGTGCCGGTCAGTGGCGCCCTCATATTGTCGGAGACTGGCGTCGTGTGTTTTACAAGTCTTGGGCTTGAGGACATGTGGCATGCATGTTGGATTGCAGAAGACGTTGCTTAAACATTGCTTAAACATGTCTGGCCGAGGTGAGGTGGATTTCTTGCACTCCGTTATGGCTGAGATTTTGAATAGTGAGCCGGCTTAGCTCTTGCTTCGTGATGCTTTGTCGCCGCACTAGTGTTGGAGCATCCGCTGTCCCTTTGCCTTTGCAAGGTTTGGACCCAGGCTGCCAAGCATGTGGCCGAGTCATCAATTGCAAGCAGTTCACTTTGGTCCCTGCCAGCGGTTGGCTCAGTTTTGCACTTTGGGCAGCGAGTACTTATTCTCGGGCCGAATTGCTTGTTTATCACGAGCGCTTTGAGCGGTATCCCTTGCTGACGTACACCGGACTGGACATGTCCACAGATCCTCGCCAATTGTCTTTGTCTTGTGGCGATCTAGCCGGCTTAGGTAAGTCGATTGACGAGATGCCGGCTTAAGTACGTCCATTGACGAGATGCCATGCACTCATGCAAGTCAGGCTTCCACTAAGCTGCGAAGCCGCTGAGCATCTTTCAGTAGTCTTGTGGCTTGCACAGTGTTTGCTCTTTGTAGCACTCGCCTGGGCCTAGCCCCTAGCGGCCCTAACCTTGAAGATATCTTTCTGCCAAAATGGCGGAAACGTTTTTCTCTCACAATCATCCTGTGCGCCGGCCAGTTGGCAATGTCCATTGGTTTGCAGGCTCTAGTCTTTGCCCCATGTCGTTCCAAAAGGGGATTTGTTCATAGCGATGTGGGTAAAAAAGCCATTCCGCATAAGCTCGCCCAGGCCCTGAACAGCCGCGCGCCTGCCACTGCATTTGCATCGGCTTGGTTGTGCTGCAGGGTTTTGCTTGACAGTCTGCGATCTTTCGGGTGGGCCATGTCACGTTACGTGTGCGATGAGCTGAACTCAGCGCTCCTGCGCTATCGCGCTGGCCCGGTTCTTACATGCACTCAGTGACGTGTCCGAGATGGGATTTAGGCAGGAGCGCCAGTTCGATCAAGAAATGATGCTTGGGAAGCCAAAGACCAAAATCAATTACCCCGAGACCCCCAATACAAACCAAAGAAGTAAAAAACGTGGCCAAACGCACCAGATAAGCTGCTGACGGGGTCATCAGACGGAGCACTTGCCTGCGACAGGCAGCAACGGCCAACCCGAGACGGATGAGACGCAGCGTCAGGCAGTCCAGACAGAAATGGATCCATGTTTTTTCTGTGGGTTTCAGTGGTCATGGCAGGGAGGAATTACTTGCCTGTCGTTTCCTTAGGCTTTGAATGCAATACTGCTCCTTGCCGCCAGAGTTCCACGGATGTCGCTTTGACAGCCAGTGGTCGCATGCAATCACCGCTAGGATGCCAAGCGGACCAGTGAGCCCAAGTTGCATGCGCCTTAAGTGTTGAAACGTTGCAACGTCCGCGGTGTGCTTGTCCGCATTGCACGTCGAGCAGCATGCGTGCTTTCGCGCAATGGGGATGCGTCTCGGAGCCAAAAGCAGGTCGGAGCATGCGAAGACGGCTGCCGATGACGTTGCCGACGTGACGTCCACCCAGGTTGCTCGAGTTTACAGTGACAGTGCGCACCAATCAGTAACCAAACGCTAAACCTTGTCAGTTTGGCATGGAGGATTGCATTGCCACTGCCCACACTGACCAAAAGTGCTGTGACCGAGATGGTTGAAGACGGCCGGACATGTGAACTGAGCAGGAAGCGGAAGCCGAAGGATCTTCTTCGCTTGCAGTACACTCGGTTTTCGTGGCATGTGAACGCGTGCGTTTCCGCTACTGTGCCCGCCTGCGTTTGCGGATGCGTTGCCTGTAGGCTGCCACGCCTGCTTCATCTTCCTGCGCACGCCTCCTGGTGCTGGTGGTGATGGGTGCAGTGGCTGAGTAGATGTCTTCCTTTGTTGCGCTATGTTGCACCTCAGGTGCCAACGAGCTTTGTCGATGCCGGCGTGGCTTCATCTGTCTCTACGACAAGCAGTCAGCACAGGGCACGGCAGCATGTGTGTCATGCCATGTCCTGGCATTTTCATAGATCAACGGTAGGCAATTTCTGTTTTGTCCCATTTTCAAGCTTTGGTTGTCGGGGGTGTGCGGCAATGCGTAGCGTAGAGTCAACGACTTATCTGGTTCAGCGCTTGTCTTGACCACCATGTTCAGAAAGCTGCCGTTCAAGTCATTGCCATGCAGAGCATTAGTTTCGGCTTGCGACAGCGCTCGTGCGTAAACATGACGAGTCATGAGATGATTGCTATTCCTTGTGCACTCAAACGTCCCTGCGTTGTCAGGCATGGCAGGAGCTACTTGCCATGGCCCAGGCTGGCCCAACAAAAACTGTGACGTACGACCGAAACAGAACAAGCAAACCATTCTGGCAGAATTTCCTTCAGGAGGCGCGTCGCATCATTCGCCAGCACATGCCTCAGAAACAGCCTTACTGCTTTCGTCGGCCAGTGGGCGGATCTTAGGAAAGCTGAGAGCGAAACTCAGTGATCCGCAGGCAGTTTTGCATAAGCATATGACTGCGGGCTTGCCGCATGAGCCGTCGCAGTTCACGTGGAACGTTATTTTGCGCCGAAAGTCGTTGGGATTGACTCGGCCATGTGACATGTAGCGGTGACTTTATGGCCATGCTTGCCGCTCGCCGTCAAAAAAGTTGGGCGAGTGACACACGTCGTCGTTGCTAGCTGGAGCGACTGGCAGGTCTAGACAATTGTGGGGCTGGGGTGAGGGCACAACAAGCGCAATCAATGAATGAATCAATGAGTGAATGACTGCATGCATGCATGACTGAATCAATGACTCAACGACTCAATGCATCAATGAATGGAGTGGACTGGACTGGACTGGAATGGACGCCAATGAAATGAAATGAAATGAAACGAAACGAGATGAAATGAAATGTCTGAAGCGAGTGTTTGATCGAATGACTGACTGATTGTATGACTGAATGACTGCCTGAATGACTGAATGATTGATTGATTGGTTGCTTGAACGACTGACTGCCTGAGTGAAAGAAAGAATGAATGAATGCATGAATGGAAAAAGAAAGAGTGAAAGAAAGAAAGAACGCAAGAAAAAAATAAATAAAGAAAGAACGAAAGAAAGAAATAAAGTAAGAAAGAAAGACAAGAAAGAAAGAAGGAAAGAAAGAAAGAAAGAAGGAAAGAATGACTGAATGAGTGAACGAGTGAATGAGTGAATGAGTGACTGAGGGAAGGTGTGAATGCGTGACTGCATGAACGAGTGCATGAATGAATGATTGCGTGAATGAATGAATGACTGAGTGAATGAATGAATAATGAATGACTGCCTGAATGAATGAATGAATGAATAATGAATAATGAATAATGAATAATGAATGAATAATGAATATTGAATAATGAAGAATGAATAATGAATAATGAATAATGAATAATGAATAATGAATAATGACTGACTGACTGACTGACTGAATGAATGAATGAATGGCTGCGTGAGTGCGCGAATGCATGAATGCCTTCATGAATGCATGATTGCATGAATGCATGAAGGAATGAATGAATGAATGAATGAATGAATCGTAGTCGTAGTCGTAGTCGTAATGGTGGTGGTAGTAGTAGTAGTAGTAGTAGTAGTACTCGTCGTAGTCGTAGTCGTAGTCGTAGTCGTCGTAGTAGTAGTAGTAGTAGTCGTAGTCGTCGTCGTACATGCCTCTTCTGCATGCATGCATGCATGCTGAAAGCGGAGGGCGGGCCATGCCATGCAGTACAAGTGTTAGCAGTCATAGGGATGGTGGGGGTGGGCGTCGCCAAACGCAGAGTTGTCGGCACTGTTGAGACCCGAAGTCCTTGTCTTTAAAGTGTCAACCTGCAGGCCTCCTGCAGGCAGGGATGGCATGGGTGTCGCCAAGGCACAGAGCCTCGTGTCTCTCGTCTTCCAGTCTCAAAAGTGTCAACAGTCACAGTGATGGCGGCGGTCGTGGTTGGGACACGCAGAACTGTCGTCGCTCTTGGACGTGTGAGAGGAGTTTGAGAGGAGGTCTTTGCATGGAGTTATGAGAGAGGCTCATGAGGCTCAAGCAAGCAAGGTCATTTACAGGGCAGCACAGGAATGGACCTGACGTTCAAAGACCCGACCATGAGCATCAGCTAACAATGAGTTCTGAATGCAGGTCCAAAGCAAGGCTCAACGGCATTTCCGAAAGACTGTGGCACGTTCAACAAGATGAGCGATGGGTCGATGCTGCTGAAGGGCAAGGGTGTGTCATGCTTGTGAGTTCATCATGAAACATCTTGCGCAACAGAACCTGCGATATCATGAGTAAAATCTCAAATCTGGCTCGTGACAGAATGGCGGCAAAAGGGGGTAGGGCCTCAGGAGGCTCAGGATCTAGAGCTTCAAACTCTAGGCTGTAGCAAAAGAACATGAAAAGCGTGCCATGCATTTCTGCATGGGATACGGCGACATAGGGCCAGGCAAGGGACCAAATTGCATTCGGCTGTAAAAAATTTGCAAAGCTGCAAGGCACGCCGATTCCGTTTTACGAAGATTGACCGTCCCCTGGCCCACTCTCATGACCCTTTGAGAACCTTCTCTCCCGACATCTTCTCAGGACTACTCTCATGACCTCTTTTGAAGACCTCCTCTGACAACATCTTGTCAAGCATTTCAGAAGACCTCCTAAGGACCTCCTCTCGTGACGTCGGTTCACAAGGTCCTCTCAGGACATCTTCTCAGAACCCCTCACACAACCTCTTCTCAGGACCTCCTATCTCTTTTCGGGCCCCCTCTCATGACATCCTCTACCATGCCCTGTGCAGCCATCTTTGTGTCGAGCATGCTTCACGAACTGGACAAGGTGCCTGTGCTTCGCATTGCAAGCTGGTTTGAGCACACTTTTGCGGCAAGTTCTCATATTTGACTCTGTCTGTTGGGCTACCTGCGTGCCCCTGCTTCCATTGCCATGACGGGCAGTGTTTGGTGCATCGAGCCTGAGCCTGCCTGGCACGACACCCAGTTGTGATGGGTCGAGAGCAAACTAGAGAGCACTTGCCTCTTCTCTGTGCATGTTGCGGCATGGCATTGCTGCTTTTTCGAGTACCTGGGAGGCAGCAAGTGCAAGGAAGTCCAAATCCTGACCATTGGCCACAAGCTCAGCGACCGTAGGTTTGACATCCCTATGCCGAATTCTTTTAACATTTGGCAAACGATGCATTCCTTTCCGGCTGCGTGGCAATGGACTCCCCACAGTGAGGCTGCATGAACGTCAATGTTTTTCCTATTGGCCACAAACTCAGTGACGGGAGGGTGAGCATCAGCAAAACTGCCACGCCAGCGCTGGCTTGTCTGCTGCTCTCACCCAGGGCGGCTTCGCCACAGGAACAGGTTGATGCCGCTGCTCAGTTCCTGGACAAAGTTTTTGTTGGTCAGGTCCTGCTGTCATACAGCACCCTTGCTTGCATGTGCTTGCCCA